TGTCCCCTCACTTCCGCGACTCATCCTTTGCTGTTAGAAACTCTTCTCGCTCTTTTTTGTGCATATAAAGCTTTATTCCTCAGACAACAACAAAGCCTGCTCCACGTCCCTGCCGCCTGAGCCCCGGCACCCGAGCCTTCGGTCCTGCCTGGGCGGGGGGTCCTGGTGACGCTATGGCGTCTTTTAAACCTACTGTTCTCTCTGGCATCAAGTGTCCTTTTCATCTTCGAGGTCCTGTTTTCTTGTTTTACAATTGAAATCTCACATATCACTCATTAGCTGTTGTTCTCAAACTGGAGCGTCTCCTCGAGGGGATGTTTAGCAATGTCTGGAGACACTTTTGGTCGGGATAACCTGAACCCACAACGAACAGGAAAGCTCCCTCCATAAGGCATTGCCCGACCCCAAATGTCACTGGGATCGAGGTTGAAAACTCTAACTTATTAGCATAAAAAGCAAAGAATGAAAGCAGGTAAGGGACGAGAGGAGGCTCGGGTGTGCAGCCTGCAGCTGAGGTTCTGGGCGCTGCATTCTGGGGTGAGGCTCGGAAACAAACAGGAGGTGAGAAGCAGCCTCAGGGGGACCCCTAACACCACAGAACCCAGAAGGAGTCACGCAGAGGTGCTCCCTGCAGGCTGGGTTTCCCAAAATGTGACCTATTTTCCCCTCATGGTATATAATAGGATTTAAACATAAACATATTTCAGAAAAAAAGTGAGTGGACTTATAAAAAGAAATATTAAAGTAACAAAACTGAACATCGATCTGGCAGATTGTAAACGGTCACCAGTGACTGAAGGTTGGTGCGCAATGTTTGTGACAAGGCCGTTGTCCCGTAGAGAAGAGCTGCGGGTGTGACAAGGGATGGGGGTGGGGGGCACACATCCGCGCTTGACCCGGCAGAACTCACCGTTCTTGGCGCTTATCCCTGCACACTGCTGGTCACCGGCCACCGACGCGCCAGACCAGGTTCTGTATAAATACGTGGTCCCATCGATCCACTCCCACTGCTGCTTCTGCGGACAACAGGACGTGGGAGACATGCATGGGCCGCCTCCCGACCCGCGCACCGCCCAGGGGGTCCCCGCAGGCCCAGGGGTCCCCGCAGGCCCAGGGGGGGTCCCCGCAGGCCCAGGCCCTATAAGGAGCAGTTGTCAGTGTCAGAATTGGGAAAAGCACAGAAACGTCGTAGAGAGGGAGAAACAGAAAAGTCACTTCTTTTAACAACTAAGAGGAAAACAAAATTACTAATATTTTAGTGTTTTTACTTCTTGGTGTCAATATTTTTATCTCTCACAATCGTTTTTTGTACTTAAAAATGCGGCGGCCTTTAAAATATACATTCAACGTCGTCTGGCTGGCTAAGCGCTTTTTTGATAGTAAGGACGTACCGTAATTGACCTTAACCATCCTCCTGTCGACTCCTGTGTGCGCGGTTTCCGCGTCACAATTATTACACAAAATACGGCTGTTTCTTTTCTTGAAATTATTTTCTGGGGATTGAAGCCCACAAGTAGAATTAAGGGTCAGATGGCACGAATCCCTGGACGGTATTGATCGATGCATCGATGCATCACCAAACCGCTTTTCCAACACAGTTCCGTTGGAGAAATGTACATCCCCACCTACCGGGCAATTTCTCCATATCCCTAAAAACCTTATTTACTAAGACAAACCAGGAGTTTCATCATATGATCAGTCGAATCATTCTGTTATTTTTATTTCCTTGATAACTAGAGACACTGCACACTTTTTAGAACATTTATCCCCTACTTTCTTTCCTTGGTCACAAAGGTAAAAAAATTTACAAAAACTGTCTGATAAATAAAAATAGATGTGAATATCTATTTTTATCTCCGAATGAGAGAGTGCTGACTGATAGCAGTGTTAATGCCTAAAAAATGTAAAATTAATTGTAAAAACATATTGGTAACATCTATGGCCAAGTTTTATCTTGAAACGGAAAGTCCGGGGGTTCTCTCCTTGCGTTCCTTATGGTTTTTGGGGGGTTGACCTTAGAAGCCCCAGGAAGAATGTGTAAACGGCAGATTGCACACAGAGACCTCGGTGACCAGCCCGAAGACCTCACGCCCCTCCTCACGATGAGATTCTGATGAAGAGCGAAACGAGGGTCCAGTGGAAAAAGTTCAGATAAACGTCAGAAACGCAGTCGCATCCAGGAAAAAGCTTCGCTGAGTCTCCAGCTCTGAGCTCAGAGCCCGTGGGGATGCTTCGGCTGGGCCCCGCAGCGGTCTCTGTGCGCGCGGGCATTTACGTGTGTATGCACCCAGACATACTTACGCAAACTTTGGTTTTTTGAAGGCTCCGAAAGGCTGGTCATTTCGTTTTCTGAGGTTTGGAAGGATCTTAGTTAGATAGAAGGTCCATGAAAAGATGCTGCTGAAATCACGTCCTCCGCTGAGGGCCGGAACTGGGACCCTGACCGGGGGGCGCTGGCCCCTCTCGGTAAGAGGCCCGTGACTGAAGATCGGCTCTGTGTGTCCCCTGTCTGGAGGTCTGGGGCCTGTTTCCTAGAGAGGGGCTGTCTCTCTGGCTGTCCCGGGGGTGGGGCGTGGGGGCAGCTGCGGGCCAAGTCTCAGGTTACCTTCTGCGGGTCATGCAGGCCGATCCACACGGGCTTGGTTCTTTGGTAGCCTCTGATGTACCCTGCGATGACGCGGGCTTCCTTGGCACTGGAGACAGACGCCAGGTGGGCTCCGTTTCCAAAGGACTGACACTCGAGCTGCGGAGGGAGGAGCCGCGTGAAAGGCGCCTCGAGATTGGGAAGCGCAGCCCTCACCCGGGAACCCTCCTGCGTCCGGCCGCACTGATGCCCGGAGGCCCCGCCTCCTCCAGGAGCTGTCCTCTAAACCCCACACAAGTCCTCCTGTCACCATGGGGGAAAACACAACTGTCCCAGAGGAAGAGGCAGCTCCAGGCAAGGGTCGGTGCAAGGGCCTGGGGGCCTAGTCTTGCCCCAGAGTCTGGGGAACCCCTTCTTTGCTTAGTTTATTTTTTTTTTTTAAACTATCACTGTCCTCAGCTCAGAGGAGTGTTGCATCAGAGCCGACTTCCCTGGGGTTTGCTCTGCTAGTTACTCTCCAAATAATCTTGGAAAGTCACTCACGCTCACACCGCCCTGGAATTTTCTGTTTAAAGGTCATGATCTGTCTACGGCCATGCCACCCTGAACGTGCCTGATCCCATCTGATCTCGGAAGCTAAGCAGGGTCGGGCCTGGTTAGGACTTGGATGGGAGACCACCTAGGAAGACCAGGTGCCGTAGGCGATAAAAAGTAAAAAATAAGGGATCGTAAGCTGACAAAGTCAAGGTCAACCTGTGAGGTCGACCAAGGGTTGCCTCCCCTTAAAAAATAATAATAAAATAAAATAAAATAATAAAGGTCAAGATCTTGCATTAATTTCGCACTTTTCAAGGCCAGAGAAGACTCTGGGATGCTCGCTCGCTATCACGTGGTACAGGGACTCTGGGCCCAGACCACACCGCACTGGCCCCCGGACGAGGCCTCTTAGACAAAGCCTCGGCGAAAGAAAACCGATACGTTGGTTGGGTGGTGTAGCCGGTAAAGCCTTCCGTCCCTCTGGACCACGTTGCTTCTGTCAGGCGGCTCCGAGGTCTGTGACCCGTCCCCACCCCCGTTCTCTGGCAAAGCCTTTCTCCAAGGTCCTCTCCTCATCCTCCTTGGATTTACGCATTTCTGTCTCCCTGACAGCGGACTCCTGGAGGGCAGGGGCTGTTTCTCGTTCGTTCTCACACCTTTGCGGCCCGTCTGGGGCCTGGGGCCTGGACACAGAGCACGTGCTCCATCAGTGAAGGAGCTGAACGCACTCTGGCAAGGCGACTTCTCAGAAAGCCAGGGAGGACCGCTGACTCTCCGGGAGTCCAGTGAGACCTGGAGCTCTGGGTGGCCCCTCGCTCCAGAGCAGCCCGTCCAAGCACGGGCCAGACTTCTTACCTCAGCGTCAGACCAGCTCCTCAGCTTCCGGAAGTATCCATAGCAGTTGGGCTTGTAGTAAAACCATCCAGTGGCACAGCTGGGCCTCATGATGATGTCTGCACCCAAACGAAAGGCAATGACAAGTGGCGATGGCAAAAGCAGCCAAGCCCCCGACCTGAGCCAGTTTATAGACCCACAGCCCCTGGGAGGCTGGGTGTCCTGGAGGAAAGACCCCACTTTGTCCTGTGCCTCTTTCCCCCAGCCCTCTACGGCCTTTTACCACGGGAAGTGTGCCCTGGGGTGGAGGAAATAATCGGCTCCTTTAAGGACGACTGGATGCTGGCTCTGAACCGACACTAAATCCAGGAGACCCAAAATGTCACTGTGGTTCACCAGGCAGAGGAGGGGCTCACGGAGGTCAGGTGACCAACGGAGTTTTAGCTCAGGTCATCTCACGGCGGGCCCAGGGGTGAGTGTCGTGCCTCTGCCCTGGAGAGCTTTGGTTTAATTCCAGAGCGGGTAGCCTGTTTCTCGCTTCCTGGGACACAGGTGGGCAAATCTCAAGCCCCCTCAGAGGAGCGGGAATCAGGACAAAGGAAACACCTGGCCGTGTGGGCGGGGCTGGGGGCGGCCTCTCAGAGTCCTTCATCAGGTGGCCTGGTCCAGAGAGGGTGGCTGAGCCCCCCAGGTCCTGAGCAGCTATATGTGGTTGGAGACAACTGGTGGCTGGACTAGATTCCGGCCAAGGCCACCGACCTGATGCCCAAAAAAACCTGTTTCTCTTTGCATTTCCTCCCCCTGGCCCGCCGTATGCCCTGCTGGGAGGAGTGCCGGGTAAACGGCAGTGGACGCCCTCAAGAGGTCCCCTGTCAGTGGGCGTGCCCCAGGGCTGGGGGCTTCACTGCTCGGCCACCTGCAAAGCCCAGCAAGGCCTCAGGGGGCCGGAAAAGGCTTCCGGTACCAGGAGTCAGGGAACCGCATTGCCTCGCTGAGTGAGCTTGGGCAAGTCTATTCTTGGGGCCTCGTTTTCTCATAAATAGAACAAAGGAGTTATACCAGATGAGCCCACAGTTCATTTCCTCCCGCTTCAGATTCTTTTTCTTAGCTCACTCACGCAATTTTCTTCCCCTGCTTTCCCTATGGGTAGATGCTGGGGCACTGCTTCTCCTTCTGTCGACACGTCACTTTATTCATACTCGATGCTGGGTCTATACATGTGTGGGAGCCATCGTCCGACTAGGCGATAAGTCCCTCGCAAACTGGAATTCCCAGTTTGTTCCAACAGGAAAAATGCATCCACCTCGGGTGGTACTAGGCGTCGGGTGCTTCAAATAGCTCTCTCTACCTTTCATAATAAACATGCAAAATAATTGCGATAGTCTAAAGGTAGTTGATGATGGAACTATGGCTCCCAGTCAAACAAGGTTGGCGTTCGTTTGATTCTAAATTCTTTGCATTTTATTTATTTATTTTTAAACCACATCGCATGGTCTTGAATTCTTGTCTTTAACATCTATATTGTCAAGTGCCTAAGCATTTGGGGCGGGGGGGGAGGTGGGGGGGAGGTGAATGAATCCAGCTGTGCCACGCGAGCTGCATGAACACTGGCTGTGGCTCAAATCCCGCAGAGCGCCTGGTACTCACCCGCCAGGACCTCCGTGCCGACTGCGAAGCTCAACAGGAAGAGCAGCCGCACGCTCTCGAAGGCCATCTTTCCTCTCCTCCTGGGGACAGACGTGCTTCGGACACCTCTACCGGAAGGATCGCAAAGCCCTCTTGCTCTTTCCCCGATGCTCCTGGGCTCAGCTAGATCTGCAACACGAACATGTGTGCACTGGCGACGTGCACCCAGGAAGTTGGGTGCCAAATCACACATGGAGGGAAAAAAAAAAATCTTTTTCTGGTTAAACCCAAGTTGTACGATCAAAGGAATCTCAGGCTAAATGTAGAGATTGGGAAATTTTAACTTGTGAGGTTTTGTGGTCACCTGCAAGGTCTCTGGGCCAGCGCCAGAGACCTCACTCTACTGGGCTGAAGATAGAAAAGTCTACATGGGAAGCAGTTGGTGTCTTGCGGGGGGGACTGCCGCTGCTATTCTCAGAGGAGCCAGCAGAGGGCGGTCACGGCAAGCTTTCTCCCAGGCGAGGCATAAAGAATGTACCTCCCCGGTCAAGCCAATCAAGTCGGTTCCAACAGTGAATTTTTTTCGCATTAGATTTAAACGTGAATATGCAGTCCACTATCTACATTTTACAGACACAGAAGAACTGAGGTTGACGAGCCTGAAGTCATTTGCTCACGGTCACACAGCGACAAGCCGATTTTCTGACTTCAGCCGGAGCCTCTTTCCTTTATGCTGAGGTGACAACCACATTTTTTAAATGAGGAAATAACTTTGTTATTTTTTCCCATGATCAAACAGTATGTGAATTATTAAGTGATCAGTGAAACATTACAAAATAGGAAGAAGTCATATCTCCCAGAGAATGGCTTCCACACATCTCTCTGTCTCTCTCTGCCTCTGTCTGTCTGTATGCCTCTCTGATTTTTCCATATGGAACACACGGTCCTGGAACCTGGTTTTCTTTCTCAGAAACGGGTGGATTGTAACGAACCTTCTTCCATTCACCTAACTTTTATGCAGTTTTCATTCTCTCTTTAGTAAAAATTCACATTCATGGGGCTGCGGCTTCATAGAGCTTACACACTGTCACGCTGATACTCTTGGCTAAAATGTCCCCCAAACTGACTGAACTGTACATTCCACAAATGCTGGTTTCCCCAAACCTTGATGAACGCCTAATTTGTCGGGGGTTTTTTTCTTGCTAATTTTGGTATAAAGAAAAACCTCATTGTTAGCATTTTTTAAATACTGATAAAGTTGAACATCTTTTTATGTAAGAATTAGCTTTAAAATTCTTTCGTGAAGTTTCGGTTTATAGCTTTGCACATTTTTCTGTTTCATTTTCAATCTTTTTTTTTTCCCCTCCTCAGGAATCTGTGAGGCCTTGCTTTGTATATTAATTGTCTCACATATTACTAAGACTCTTTCTCAGTTTGCATTTTCTCTTGTTCATATTTTTTTTGCCATACCGAAAATTTCAAAAATTGTCATATTTGTCTTCTCCTGTACAACTTTTGGAATTTATATCAGAAAAACTGGCCATCACCATCCACATAAGATTAAAGCGTCCCCTGATAGTCTCTCCTATTTTCATTCATCTGGAATTTATTTTAGTGTAAGCATGGGAACGGGTCCCAGATTTTTCCCTGAATAAATATTAAGATGGGAAAGTCACTGGATTCTCATTTGAGCATGCTTTCTGATTAAAAAATCAGGGTACGTGCTCTAACTCTCAAATAACAGATGGCTCAAGGGGAAATGATGGAACATACTATTTGAGATAGAAACTTTCCCGGAAAATCTAAAGATGAGCTTCACATTAGGGTCCGTCTGAATAAACCCTTTCACACGGAATCAATAAAGAGTAAAATAAAAATGTGAAGATCTCCTTTTTAAAAAATCACTGCCTAACCCTGTGTTCCTCTGACCCTCTTCCCTTCCGGAAGTGGTGGAGGTATTTTCGATGGCCTGAAAGCCCCTTAAAACACAGAGGGTAAGAACTTCCCTTGTCAAGCCAACTGTCTGGGCGAAGAGAGGTACAGCATCTTTTCAAATAACCTATAAAGGAATCTTCATGAACTGGGATTCATCGAATGCTCGCATCTCGTCTAATTTAATCCTGATGACGAGGCCACACTGCAGGTGTCATTAACTCACTTCACACACGAGGACACCGAAGTTCATTAAGATTAAGTAACTTTTCCGAAGTTTCACAGCTGCCAGATCGCAAGTCTGTGACTTAACCAACACCGTTTGACACCAAAGCCAATGCTCTTTATAAACTGGAGGAAAAAGAAGTCATTTGAATCAAACAAAACATCAACAGAAAGTATGACCAACACCATTAGAACCATAGCTTATCATTTCTGGCCCGGTTAATAGCTGGCAGAGGAAGACAGGCGTTCAAGGAAAGTCCTCTGCCCCCGCTGTGTGGAGGGTTACCTGGCTGGCATTCAAGGCTCCCAGGACCCTGGCTTCTCCAGCATCCAGGGACATTCTGGGCAGTTTCTAGGGTTCTCATATCTTATACCTTCTTCCCTCGGGAATTATACGACCTCTGCTTTAATCATAGAGCCATCGTATTGTTTACGAACAATAATTCATCCATAAAAGTCTTACTCATGGTCAAAGTGAACCATATGAGACGTGGCTTGAGAACGGATCTGAGCTGTGCTTTAAACAGGCAGCAGGCGAACCTCTCCCTATCTGCAAACAATCTTTTCTTTACAGCCCACGCTGTCGACACCGGCAAGAATACCCTGTGACCTCTGACAGCCCCACCTTCCTCTCTTCTTATTTACTTTTTCTTTTCTCTTTTTATCCCGTTGTATTATCGATTTCCTTTATTGCTCCTTCCTTTCTATGAAGATGCCCCACTCCGGCTCTGAAGAGTCATGATGTTTCTATCCTTGTAGAAAGGATTTGCAGTCGTCTGGGCTGGACACAGGTTATAGACCTGTGTGGTGACCTTGAGAAGGATGTACAGACGTTCTCTCTAAAGCACCCGGCTCTGCAGAAAGGACTTGCAGTCCTCTGGGCTGGACACAGGTTATAGACCTTGAGAAAGATGTACAGACGTTCTCTCTAAAGCACCCGGCTCTGCCCAGCTCAGCATGCACCTGGTTCCTCAAATATCTATTTGAGATCCTCCTCCTTGTTCCTGAAACATAGGCACAGAAATCTTGTCTTAACACAGGGCAATTATGCCAAAACAGCTTACATCGACAGACTATTTTACAGTCAAGTGTTTTCACCTAAATCATCAAATGCGCTCCTAACAGCATCCCTGGGGGGGATGGAGGACAGGCACCCCCATTCCACACCCACAAGAGATTTAGGAAGCCTGCCTGGATTTACAGTGCTGGTCGGTGGTGGGGCCGGATGTTGACCCCAGGCCTTCCGGCTCTAAATCTAGCTCTCGTTTGCTTAATCAGTCTTTTTGAAAAATAGCCTCTTCAGAAAGGCTAACCAGATTCCTTTTTCTAGTGTAGATGGCCAAGGATAAACTATGTTATTGGTGTCAGAGATGATTCAACCTCGACTAGTCTAGAACCTCAAAAGGCTGCTGAACTCAATGGCCGGAAAGAATGATGGTGCTGATGGTCACGTCCTACCTGATCTACCAGTGAGGGACCCGAGGCCCAGAGAGGCTCCGTGACTCATTCAGTGCACAGCCAGTCAGCATGAAGCTGGTTTCGGACGCCAGGCTTCCTTCTCCCAGCCCAGTGTCCTCTTTACAATGCTTCTCAGCCTTCGTCATTGGATTTTTCCAGCCTGTACATGGTAAATGCATGGTAGGGTAGGAGAAGGTGATGCTTCCACGGTTTACGCAGCATATTTTAGAGAACCTCTGCCCTTCTGATGATGCTCTGGGGAAAGAGCCCAAGGTTTGGCTTCCGATGGATCTTGGTTCAGGTTCTGATTCTGTCGCCCGCTCACTGCGTGACACTGGGCATGCTCCCCCACCTCTTGGTGCCTCAGTTTCCTAACTGTGTGTGGTAGGGTATCACCAGATGAATTTTATGTTTTCCATAAAATTCGCAAGCTCCTTCCCTTTTAGGCAGCTGGATGGGAATCATTACCGCATTATGGCGAGAACAAAGCTGTCAACTCTGGGCCGTCTCCGTTCAAAAGCACTGGTCCCGATGTAACAGGGAAGTTTTGAGAAAAGAGGTGTTTAGGTAAATCTCTCCCTCCCCTGATTCTTGCTCAGCCAGCTCCATGCCACTATGTAAAGATTTGAAGTCTTCAAATGAGAGAGGAGAGAGAAGGAGATGAGACAAGAGAATGATATGCTCATAGGACCTTAACGGCTCTTTTACTGAATCCTGTTCTAGTCGGCTCCGGAGGTGGGCGCTGACAGAACCCACATTAAAGTGTGAGATGCAAGAGTGCGGGTAACTGAAGAAGTATCCGAATCGAAAAGGCCCACCGAATATTAAGTAGAATCATTAAAAAATTTTCGGCTTATAGACATGCCATACATGATAGAGAGAGAAAATTCTAAAGCCATAAGCCAGCAACAGTTACCTACAAAATGACAAGGATCGGAATGGCACCATACCGAAAAAAAACAGAAATGGAACTCAGGCAACTTTAGGTTAACTTTAAAGTATAAAAAACAACAACAACAACAAAAAAAACACAACAAAGAAAAACAAAAAAAAAACACAAACAAACAAAAAAACACAAACTTTCAACCTGAATTTTATACCCAGCCAAGGGTACAGAATTAAGAGGGAGCATGAAAGAAAAAACATGTTAAAATTACAAAGCTCTAGAAAGGCACTGTCTCTAGACTCTTCTTGAGATTACTGCTCACGCACGACCTTTAGCAAAAACTAATATGATCCCGAATAAAAGAATGTGGTACAATAAAGGGATACAGGTGCCAATTACAGATAAATTTAAACAGTACACGGGTTGGTGGCTGCCGTATTGGAAAGACCAAGAAGAGGGGCGCAGATTTCTAGCACAAACAGGTCGATGGGAAACAAAAGGGAAATTATTCTGACCTGTGAGGAAGCTTGGAGTCCGAGGGAAACTTTGGAGAAGTAAGCCCTGAGAACTTGAAAAAAATTGTGGGGAGTTTTGGGGGGAACGCGTAGAATTTGGATTTGAGCCCAATTTCGTTGGATCTCCAGGCTGACACCTCGGTTATGCTTCACTAAGAAATCTTTGTTATAGCTGCAGGATGTTTTCTGACTCCAGTTTCCCTGAGTGAAGACTGGATGAGACTGAGCCTTTGGCTTCTTCAAGTGACCAATCAACTCCATGTTGAGTCAAATAGTGGAGCTTCTTCGTCTGATGTCAAGAATAAACTGCCTCCGGCTTTGGTGTGATGGTAGCTCACTTAGTAACCATTTTAACCAATGAACGGTTTCTACCTTACTGTGTGTGCCTACTGGAAGCTTTTTGAGAGGGTTAATTTATTTTTTGACGTCTAAACATTTCACTACTTTTAGATTGGCATGAAAAAAAGGACTTTGGCCAGGCAGGGGCAGCGGTAGGTAGCCTCTAACGGAATGGTCGGTAAGAGGAAGATCAAAGGAAGGTGCTTTAGGGGAATGTGAAAAATGAAGTCTGGGAGAGGGACTTGGGAAGAATCTAAAGGGACGATATTAATGAGAAGATGAGTCTTAAAATCTTTTTAAATTCTAAATCCGAAGAAAAGAGCACATACTGCTTATTTCAAAAAGCTGTCAAAGAAGTCCTCCTTGCCCGCTTGGGGCGCACATTTACAGTCTTGGACTTTGTCCTCTCATATTTGACAGAGATGTTGACCATGAACACTGCTGCAAGCAGGCGCTGTGACGTCCCATGACACTGGAACAAGTCCTATCAGCGGGAGCAAGGAAATGAGTCACTGAGAATGTGTTCGTTAACTTTTACGGCTGTGGAGAAACTCTTGTCTTGAGGGCAGTAAAGTTTATGCCCACCCACTCGGTCCTGATGTGGAGGACACGTTGCACAGAGCAATCTCCCTTCGCATTTCCTGGGCAGTCTATTGTCTATATTTGTGGGACGCTCTCCAGCTAGAATCAGCCGATTCGTTGGAGAGGTACAATTTACACAGAGGTGTAAATTGAAAAGTCTGTATATGACTGGTTCCCTCCTTCTTTCCCTCTCCCCCTCCCTCCCTCCCTCCCTCCCTCCCTTCCCCTTGCTCTTTCGAGTCACTTTGTGGCCACTGCTCTGCCCACTTGTTTCTCATCTGCGGGGTCTTGCCGTGCCTTATCGCACCTATCACATCTTCAAAAGGACTAGGTAAAAATATCGCCAAATTCCTTGTTTCAATTCTCTTGTTTTGCATTTTTAAAAGATTTTTTTTTTAACGATGACATTACTTTATGAGGTTGAATTTACACTGAATAAAATGTACACATCTTAAATATTAAGCCTGAAGGATTCTGACAAATCTATACGCCTGTGCGACCACCACCCAGATGAAGATACAAAACATTTCCGTCAAGTTCCTGTCATTCTTCCACTTCATCGCTTGGATTCATAACTTGTTCTTTCATCGTGCTGAGCAGCATTCTGTTGCAGGAATATGGAACAGGTTGTCATTATGATTACTCATTCCTGGTTGAAGGACATTTTGGCTACTTTCAGCCTCTGACTAAAGCTGCTGTGGGCATTCTCAGGCTCTCGACAGACCTGTGCTTTTATTCCGGGACTAAGAGTGGGATTGCGGGGTCGCAGGATGGGCGTGTATTTAAGTTTGGAAAGAGACAAACTGTTTGGCAGAGTATCTGAACCATTTTACACTC